GAGAGAGAGAGAGATGCATACAAACGTGGAGGATGTGGTACATCGTTTTACCCGTCATGGTATACTCCTATGCTATCGTATGCCTTCATGATATGCTGCCATCCTCTCTAGATCGGAGCAGACCGAAGGAAGAGGGGGAAATTCTGAACATATCATGTTTTTGGTGAAGACAAGAGAGGGAGTCTGTTTTTTTTCGTTTACCATGGTCTCAGCATTTATCCTGTGACCTGAGGTTTGGATGGATTTTTCGGCCTAACTGCGTGTAGCTATTTGGTTTCCACGATGTCGGTTAAGTCCCAGTTGAAGCTAGGTTAGAGTAGTCCATTTGTCATTTGATGAGGTAGTAAATGTCCCCTGGTTCCTTTACGGAACGGGAGGTTCATTTGCACTCCTTCACTCTTTTTTGGCCATTGTTAAGCAGTCCCTTGTGCTGAAAACGTCGTTGGTGACTCTGAGAAGAGTGCTCTCAGCGAGGTTTTCGGGTGCGTAAACTGTGCTTTGTGATTTAGGAGTGCTCTCAGCGAGGTTTTCGGGGATAGAGAGAGAGTATGGGTTGATTACAGTGCAAGGATTTCTGCTTTTCGTCTTGTTTTTCCTCTGCGAAGGAGATCCCATGGTGCTTGAATAGAGAGAGGGAACCGTGGAGTACCGGGGCAGAATGCTCTCTTCTGTTCGTTTTGTCTTCACGAAGTGGACAATTGCCTTAAGCCAACGAGTACCCTGCGTGCCAACCAAACCGAGACGGAACGGTGGAGTACTGGGGCAGAATGCTCTCTTCTGTTCGTTTTGTCTTCACGAAGTGGACAATTGCCTTAAGCCAACGAGTACCCTGCGTGCCAACCAAACCGAGGCGGTGAGTCGTCGTTTTTTCTTTTGTTTTGACTGGTGCCGCCCACGGTTGAGGTCCAGTAGCACTATTCATCCAAATTTTTTGGATGTATAGTATAATAGACTAAGCATCTTTTCGGAAAGCCTCGCCCTTGAAAGTTATGGGTGGTTTGACAAAGTTCATTGGTGGTTCAGATTTTGGGCCGTTGCTTTTTTTATGCTATTTGGGATTGAGATTGAGATTGTGTGCGCACGGCGCTCTGGGAGTGAGGTTATCGGAGACTCGGAGAATGGTGTAGAGCTGGGGAAAAGTGGTTGCTTTTTGGTTTCTGCTGTGAGGCAGTGAATCTGTTTTCTGGGCGTGAGGTTCTCGATTACCGGGAGTGGTGGATTGGAGGGGGATACTGTTTTTACCTTTTTTTTGGCTTTCTGGGGCATTTAATGTGTGTTTTTTTCCATCCAATACCGCCACTGCAGGCCCTGGTTTTGCAATTTCAACAAAACGTTGCCGCCTAAATGAAGATGTTCTGCAAATGTATGCTTTTGCAAGCAATATGCCGGCAACCTGTCTTCTAAGGGTCATCAGCACTGCGTGGTGACGTGGTGCGCATGTGAGCTGGGCATTCGAACCACTTGCCTTTCTGCGTTCAGTGATTCGTCTTACTGTCATGCCAATGCTTTTGTGACTCCCTGAGGGCCTAGAACTGATTCAAATGATCAGGCGTTTATCAAGGCCATGAGGGCCTAGCGCCACAGTCGGAGGGCAGTAGACGATGGACTTGTTAACTGGGGCCTCAGAACCTTTTGCCTGGCTAGTTGCTGGGAAGGCCGTGCAGGGTGAGTCAGGGCAGTGGCGGGGGGRGKGGGRGKGGGRGKGGGRGGGGGGGGGTCTGCTACCTGGCGTCTGTCCGGAAGCGCTCACAAATAGACTGGACGGGTCCAGTAGTGGCCGGAACGCAGGGTAGTGCTCAATGCTTTGCATTGATCTGATTCATACAGCAGGTTGCCCTTGGAGGGAGAGGAGAGTAGGGGAGCAACATACCTGGTGGTCGCCATGAGATCAAGCATTGTACATTCTTTGAGCTGCAC